TCTGTCCAGCCTTGGCAACCCCAGTGGCTCCTTGTCAGTCATGGTATTTGGGCTGTGTTGACATGAACCTTCATCCGCACCTGTGGGTGGATTCCCGAGGCCTGCCTGGCATGTGTCCTCCACGCTTTCCCCTCCCAGCTGTTCAGGACAGATATCTGAGCACCAGCCTTCAGCTCTGCACTCACATCCAGTGGTGCTCACACCCTGCATCCAGTCCACCAACATTGTACCCCACAGAACCCACTCCCCATCCTCCCCAAGTCCAGCCTCCACAGCTGCTCCACCCTGCAACCGGGACAGTCCTCCTAGAACACTTGGCGCTGCCCCTGCCCAGTGCTCCCCACAGGCTCCTGTCACTTCCTTCCCATGTCCCCCAGGCAGGGGGCCCTGACCACTGCCACCTTGCCTCTCACCTGCTCCGCCTGTATCTGCGCACGTGCTGGCCCCTGCCTTGTCCCAGACACGCCACTCCCGCCCTGCGCTGCTGCCTTTGCAGGAAACTTTCCCGCCTGTTTCCTTTTGTTTTCAGATCACTCAGGCCCTGATCAAGTGACATCTCAGATGTGCCTCGTAGCCGATATGACACCCCACGAGGGCAGGGACTGGTGTGTCCTCCAGTCAGTGTGGGATGGAGGTGGAGGTGGACGGATGGGTGGTCAGTGCAGGGTGGGTGGAGATTCGGGTTAGACTGAAGGGAGACAGATTGAGTCAGATATGACAGGAGGCACAGGATCACAGCCCATCGTCAGAATGACCTGAAAGGTTGACATTAACAGTGATAAAGGCCACAGCCCAGAGCGTGCTCTTCAGCTCTCCAGACCAGGTCGGCGTGGCTGTGAGGAGCAGAGCAGCGGCAGGACATCTGACCACGTCGGTCCTAAGCCCCCCGACTCAACCATGGTCTCCATCCTCCTGAGGGACGATCACATCCCGTCAGTCTGGGTGGAAATGGTGATTGGTGATGTAACTACACTCCAAGAGGAACATCATTTTACTTTCGTTCTTCCCTGGAAACCACACTTGTTCCAAATGTGGGGCTCGCTTCTGGGCTCCATGCCCCGCCTCTCAAGGCCCTGGCCTGACCGCCTTCCTGAGACTTGGTTTCCCAGGGAGGAGCCAAGTCCTGGGAGGCCACAGAGGGGAGTGTGTCCTGAATGTTATCTCCAGCAGCACTGGGCCCCAGTGCCAGCCTCAGGCTGTGGGGGGCTCTGCCCCTCCTCTGGAATAATCCCTTCCGCCTGAACCTTTAATTATAGCTGTGGGGTCCAGCTGGGGATAAGACTGACTCAGGGCCAGTCACCCAGTCTAGGAAGTTCCTTCTTTCACAGATAAGACCTCCTGCCCCACTGCCCAGGCCTGGCTCCACCCTTCCCAGCTTGAGAGGGGTGGGGGTGCAGGCAGTTGAGGAGGGGTGCAGCAGAGTGCCCACTGTGCTCTGGGAGTCCGCTCCAGGCTTCCAAGCAAGTCCCTGTGCTGGACGGTGTGATGCCCTCCGTGAGGACCAGGGCAGGGGAGATGGGGTCTTGCAAGCCTCTCCTCCAGCCTGGATGGCCACACCAGTTCCAGCCCCTTCCTATCCACCTCCCACAGCCCTCTGACCTTCCCAAACTTTCCAAGCACAAACCTGCCCTTGCTCTCTGTCCACGCAG